AGAAGATGCAATTGGTCGAGCATAAGACTTGTTTGACGAAACATGTCTAACTCGTTATCGAAATACTATAATACGTTAAAAAAAGGCTCATTGGATAGTTTTTTTTTAAACGCAAAAGCTAGTATAATTATAATTTAGCAGTTTTTATTTAGCAATTTAGTAGAGTATGTATTTATTTTTGCAATAATGTTTCAAAAAAACACTGTGCTGGAACGAATTAAGGGGGTTGTTCTTTTTGTTACAAAAAATGCAATGAAAAAAGTCAATTTGAGAAAAACGTATTTAAAGTTTTTAATATAATGTACTAAATACACCATTTAATTTAATGTACTAAATACACCATGGTGTTAAAGATGCTGACACATTAAAAAGGTCATGTGCATGAGGTATTATAATGAAAAAGAGGCAGCTGGCATACAATAGCTCGCGGAGCGATAACAAAAACGCTTTCAGAGAATCATACATATAGAGATATATATCTATAACTTCGTCAAAAAAATAGATATGATTTTTTTTTTAAATAATTCTAAGGTTTTTAGTTTTCATAATATCAAAAAATCTCAAAATCGAAAAAAAAAAAAAAAAAAACGAACAACCCCTTAATGGCCTTTCAATGTGTTTTTTTAAAAAAGATATTTCGAGATACAAGGAACTCCACATGCGAGCATAGTTACGGAACGAATTAAGCTCGTAAGGCAGGACACTACTGTATATATTATAGATTTGATTTGTCTTTTCGTAAGATATTAATAAATAATATTTTATTAGATAAGTCCTCTGGACCACAGAGGAGGCGACATGAACCACCACACGATGGATCAACACCAGCAACAGCAGAACGTCATGATTCAACCGCCAAAAATCTCCTTCTTCCCCGGACAAGAAGTCTGGTGCCGCTTATTCCTTCTCTTCTGGTCACCGAAATAGCACGACGGTCGGCGGTAACGCTACCACGGTGATAAACTCTTCGGCGATTCAACCGCCGGCGGACCACGGACCGGTCAGCGTCAACTCGCCGGTCAACACGAACGGCAACCATCAACATTACGCCACTTGGGATAAAAGATCATCTATTCATAATAGCACAGGACCAAAAGATCGCACGTGTCTTTCGACTGTCATTATCCACTTATTGCTGAGGTAATTAATATACGCAAGTAGCTGTAAGTGGAATTCTGTCTTAAGGCAATTAGGGCATCGTGCCTTAAGGCAAATTGCTGGAACTTCCGGTACCGCAATTCAAAATTCGAGTAATTAAAAATAATCAATAATAATAATCAATAAAAGTTGATCAATGATTTGAAACTCTTAATAGAATTTCGAACCATATTAAATCATCTGTTTTGAAATATTTTGGAAATTCTGAACTTTTTTTCAAAGCAATCGTACTTCTTTAACTGCATAAAGACGAAATATCAAAGCGTGTAAACGCCGCGTCGCCGTCTAACGCGTAAACATTGGTACGCAAACCATAGGAATGTAAACAAAATTTATACTTATTGTTAAAATCTCTATAAAATATCTGATAATTTGATGTGCATATGTCTAATGTTCATTTTGACCGCCAAATGGCTCATTTTTTTTTTTTCTTTCCTCCATATCTCCAAAGTCGTTGGACCTGCCTTTCTAAAAATATGAACAGTTCTTCATTTAGTCAATACAAATAAAATGTTTTTGAACTATTCAAATCGGACGCTCCGTTCTTTGCCCCTTATCTTCAGAACGGAGATCTGCTTTGCCAAAAACTAATCAGCACGTCTCCTTTATCAATACGAATCGAATGTTTTTTGAATATTCAAATCGGTTGATCCGTGTTCCCGAAATCGTCGACGAAAATTTGTATGCGAACACACATACATACACGCACACACACATCCATTTCTCTAAGGTATGCCCAAATGTTCGAATCTTCCAAATAATTTCTTTGCCCTACCTTATAGATTGATCTACCTTATATTACAGAGATTGCTCGTCAATAGATATTGCTTTATTATTTGTGAATCCTATTTTGGCTTGTGATCTTCAAATTACTTAAAAACACATTTAAGAGTTTTTCATTCCGGGTTATCTCGAATTTTTGAAAGTTTTTATTTTTGATTAATTTTAAATGATTAATCTAAAATTATTCATACAAATTTGAATTAAACAATGCCATATTATAATTTGCGGCTTGAATTAGGCATACTGAGAGCAATATTAATTAATAAATTATATATGGGATCGTTCAAGTATTACGTAAGCTGATTTATTACAATTATTTACTCCTCATTCCCCTTGTCAGCAAAAGTAAGCAAAGCTCTTACCCCTAACCCCATGCTTACGTAAACATTTTGCAATTAATGTAAAAAATAAAAATACTACCTATGACGTAATCATCATCCAGACTACTCTGCCCCCCATGTCAACCCAAAATAAGCAAATCAACAACCCCCTCCACCCCTATAGTGCTTACGTAATACTTGAACGGCCCCTATGAAGAAAATTGTACAGAATTTATACAATAGTTGAAACCGAAAGAGATTCAAGGATCAAGAAAATGTGAATTTTTTGTACTCAGATTAAATTTTCAAATAGTATTTCCAATGACTAGTTTAAAAAATAACTTTCCCTTCCCCAATTAGTTCCCGTCTCGGATTTTAAATAGAAAATACGATACCCTTATAATTATGCATTATTTTGCAGTAGAAAATTATGCAATTTTGTTTTTCTTTAATCACTAATTTCTTGATAAATAAATTTAACAATTGATCAACTAATCTTACACGAATACATTTATTGCACATTTGAAATTCATCTAATTTTTCACAACCATATACACAGGGCCGGATTTAGAAATTTGGCGCCCCGGGGCACTGACAAAAATGCCGCCCCATCCCTGAAATTTTATGAACTTTCGAACTTCTTTTTAAAGCAATCGCGCTGCTTCAGCTGCGAGGGACAAAATATAGAAGCGCGAGAGCGCCGCGTCGCAATTTAACGGATAAACAATGTTACAGAACTTATATAAATATAAACAAAATTTATACTTATTATTATAATATCTTTAAAATATCTGATAATTTAATGTGCATATGTCTTATGATCACTTTTGTTCGCCAAATGTTTCTTTCTTTATTGGATCATCGAAACCGCTAAACCTGCCCCCCACAAATTTAAGCAGTTATTTATTCTGTAATTTTTTTTACTGTTATTGGACGCTTTTTTCTCAAAAACTGAATTATCATTTTTGACATTTTGGCCCGTATCTTCAAAACAGTTGGACCTGCCTTGATCAATAACTAATTAGCATGTCTCATTATCAATAGGAATTGAATCATAAATCGGTTGATTCGTGTTCTCGAAATCGACTTGAATAATTAAAAAATATTAGATTTGTATTGATGGGGAGACGTGCGCTGATTAGCTTCTGGTGCAGGCAGTTACGGAAAATGGTAATTGAGTTTCGATATTTCTCCTCTGAAATAGCTACGCAGCGCGATTGCTTTGCAAAAAGTTCATAATTTTCGAAAAATTTCAAAATACAAAAAATGTGTTTTAGAAGCCTTTTTTTTCATTTTTCTATAAAATGTTAAAGCTCTTTATAAAATGTAATTTTCAGTACAGGATGTTTCGGTAATTTGTCTTAAGGCACAATGCCATGAGTCACTAGTTTAAATTTTTTTTTTGACACTATAAGCACTTCCAAGTGCACAAATACGTCATTTTAAGAGGGCTCGAGAACTGAAGAACATATATTTCCTAAACTTTCAGCTTGTTTACGGATCTTTATATTAGCCAAATTGCCAAATTTGATAACTTATTAACCAATTTGATAATGGCAAGGCAAAATAATAAATTTTAGTTATCGTTTATTTCAACCTAAATTTTGCATTGCAATCGTATTATGTTTTGTTAATTATATTTCTTGAAATAAAAAATGTTGTTAAAAAAAATTTCTTATATTGTATAGAATTTTTTTCTCACTGTCCAAATTTTGCCGCCCCCCAAATTTTGCCGCCCTGGGCAGTAGCCCCGATTGCCCCTACGGTAAATCCAGCACTGCATATACATATAGGTTTGGATACATAAACGTTTTTATTTAAAAAAAAATATATTCATAAATATATTAATATCTAATCTATTAATATGTAATAACATTTAAAGTTAAACGATCAGAAGCTTTAGAATTATTTTTTTTTAAATGTCTCATATTTCCATATGCATATCCTATTTCCTAAAAATTTTAAATGATTGCGTTAATAACAAGAATAAAAAATATTAATAATCAAAAACATGATATTGCAGTCAGTATCACAAATTAGATTTATACATATCCATTGCAATTTGCACGGCGGTTTTGCTTTTCTATATTCTCAACGAATTTTCTGACAATCAGAAGTGATTTTTCAAACATTCGTAATAGATTCATGGTGGAAATTAGAATAAAGGGTAACAATATTTCAACAAAATGTTGGTAGTTAGATTTACAATTCAACAATTTATGTAGTTAGATTTACCGTTGATGATAAATCTTACACTTCTGATGTAAATTAGTTGTTCAAATGTGAGTCTAATTAAAAGCATGTCCACGGTTTGAGAGAAAGCTATTCACATCAAACTACTGAATTAGTAAAGAATAACAAAATAATCTTCAATGTATGTTAGCCCATGTTATTTTTAATCGATAACCTATTAGAATAATTAAGAAATAGATAGCACGATGATCAATATTTATTATATTTAATAATGTTATGTCATATGTTTTGTATGTCGATTTTTTGTTTAATTTCAATTATGTTTAAATTAATATGTTTTAGTTACAATCGAAACGTAGCGCCTTGTCAAATCACAGCAATGGTTCCGGGAACGTAAGTTCGAATTATTTAGACGAATTACGCGCGGCATTTGATATTGCCGAACGTGCCTCACCAGGAATTAGTGAATTATTTGTTAAAGAAGTCCTGACGCGCCTGATGCCGGGAGAAACTGCACCTAGGATCAATGGCCTAATGGAGAGGGTTGTCAGGTAATTTATTAATTCCCATGAAAATCATAATAAATATGATTTACTACCTTTGTTTTCAAATGATCTGCTCATTTCAATGTCCAATTTATGCGTCCGTATCTGTGTATACTTGCTTGAGAAAGGTGTATGTTGTATACGAGGTCTGTTCAAAAAGTACCCGGAATTTTCGTTTTTTCAAAAAAATATTTATTTATTCGTCTACATTAATGTGGTCCCCTTCAAAGTAGTCCCCCCCAGATATAATACACTTATGCCAGCGTTTTTTCCAATTTTCGAAGCACCCTTGATATTCACTTTTTGATATGTCCTTGAGCACTCTCAGCGATTTTCTTCAATCGAGGAAAACCGCCGTCCTTTCATGGGTCTCTTCAACTTTGGGAATAGGAAAAAGTCACACGGAGCCATATCTGGTGAATTTTTGCACTTTGCAACACTTTATTTCATTTTTTACGCAAAATTTAATACAAATTCTTTGACTTTTCAATTCTTCCATTGTAAAAATCGCCAAGCTCAGAAAAACACGTCGAACCTTAGCGACTACCACAGACAAAGTAAACAGTGAATATAGCTGAAAATTTCATCATACTTTAGGGGCATGTATACCAACACAATAAAAAAAAATTTTGACAATCAGACACTCCAGACCCGCGAAATTTAATTATTAGTAATTCCGGGTACTTTTTGAACACACCTCGTATATCCAGGACCGGTCCTAGAGTCCTCAGCGCCCGCATGCCAATATTTTTCTAGCGCCCCCTTATTATTTTAATTGTTTCAACAGTTTATCATTTAAATTACACAAACATTCACTTTAATATTTTTAAAAAATTTTTAATAATTCTGGAAAAAGTGCAAAAATTGATTTTATATTTATTTAGAAGATCGAGGCCATTCACGGGTAGTCATAATCAAACTTTTGTGTCTTCTATCGTTGTCGCACTCGAACTATTTTCAATTATTTATTTTTAATCCAAACTTTTTAACACATCCAAAAATTTCAATATGTTATTTATTGCTTGCAAGAATATTATTAATTTTTCAATTATTGCTAACGTATGCGTGATATATTAATATTTTGGTTTTGGAACATTTTAGTTATTTATTTTGGGGATGCATGCGATTTATTCTTATGGGCAAATCATACAGAATAAAAAAGATTTAGTCTCTCATTATTAAACATAAAACGCTAGTACTTCAAGATGGGTTATTTTAACTTAATTTTTCATTATTTAAAATGATATTTTACGATAATTGATATCGCAAGGGCCGAATTGTATGTATGTATCTTTACTTCCCCATCGTCTAATAAGATTGTTGTTTTAAAATTACATAACGTATTTTAAAAATATTGCCCAAAGATTAGTGAAAGATGCAACGAAATTATATATTTCTTGAATGATATTGAAAAAACTATATTATAAATTTTATTTCGAAACCTCGTTTTGGCGTGCGCCCGCATTTTTCGCATGCATTGCATTCAAGGTAGAACCGGCCCTGTATATATATATATATATATATATATATATATATATATATATAATATACACGGTGTCCCAGAACTAAACGTCAAGCCGTAACTGTCCTGAAAATAAATGGTAAAAAACTTTATTTCACGTTGTTTGAAAATTGAGCATTTAAGTGCAACCGAGAGCTTTGGTGAAATTGTGATCATTTTTCGGTTATTGTGATTAATTTTTATTATTTGTTTATTTAAACTTTGGAACCTTAACTGTGAATAACATTTCTAGTTTTGCAGAATTAAAACTTTTTGTTTAAACTTTTAATTTAAAATCTTCAAAATTGTTCTATTTGGAAAGGTCCTCCTTTGCAATCCAGTAAAGCAAGTTTCCTCAAAAGTTTTATAATGAAAAATTTAGAGTTATTTTTTTGACAACTATCATAACTTTAAATTCTTATAAGCTGTAGGGCTAATTTGTCTTAATATTACGTTGGTTTTACTGATGGCAACCCAAAAAGTTGTCTCGTCTTTGTGTGATAAATTTTTATTATTCTGTAATAGGCCGAATATTTTATTGATGCAGCAATTCCGGATGAGAAAATTGAATACCTTAAAATATTGCTTATTACACAAACATATATTAGAATCTATCAAATCTGTACATACATATTTATATATATATATATTATATATATATATATATATATATATATATATATATATTAAAGAACCTGTGTGAAAGTATTTAAATAATCTTATGATTTTCAGAGAATCGTAAATCCATCACTTCCTAATTATGGACTTTGGATGCTGCGTGCATGTATGCCTATACATTTGTGTTTTTAAAATAGCCATATGATAGTTGATTAATCATAATATATTAACAAAACTATTATGTTTACTTTTTACAAAAATATAATTTATTACGTTGTCAAATTAGTAAGAATAAAAATGCATCAATAATTACACTGCTGAATGTATATGTTCTAAGACGATGCTTATATTTCTTAATATATTTTATTAATTACAACCCACGCCAGTGTTTATTTTGATTACTATTGAAAACTATAAATACGATTCATCTAAAAAAAACTTTTGTGTCTAAAAATTTAAAGATTTTAAATTTTTAATGCAAGCACATGTATTAAGTTTTAAACAATTAACAAGTAACAAAGCCGTTTTTGTTTATTGTTTATTTATGAAATATAAATTTAAAAAAAATATGAATTTAGATTGAAGGGAGTGCTTACGATACACACCCTTTTCTGAAGAGCAGGATTAATATAAATTCCAAATAGTTCAATCATTATATATTATTTCACATAAGGAATAATTTATTTTTATTACTATGTATATAAAGTAAAAATGGAACTGTAACCTGAAATTAAAAGTGAAAAAATGATATCAAATATGTAATTACTTCAGTTGAATCTATATATTATTACATAACATTTGGAATATATACATATATATATATATATATATATATATGTATATATTCCAAACATATATATATATATATATATATATATATATTATATATATATATATATATATATATATATATATATATATATGTTATTGAATAATATATGAATCCAACTCTCTTTCTTTGCATATGTATATATATATATATATATATATATGAACAATTGTGAAAATATTCAATGATAATATTTCATATTTGATACAAATCAATTTGCAACAGTATGAATATAGAAAGCACTCTGAATCATGATTACCAGGATTTTTATAAATGATTAATTCTTCGAAACGACTTGCACAGTTAGGAGGGTTGAGAAAAGAGAGTTGGGCTTGCATATATTTGTGAAATATATATATATATATATATATTTATATTATAATTGTATTTATATACATATATATAAATATATATATATATATATATATATATATATATATTATATATAATATATTAGGGTGGTCCTTAATATGAACATTTTCGAACTTCTTCGCTTCCAAGGGCTCTAATACTTGCAAATTATTAAAAAAACCTCTGAAAGTTTTAGCTCTTAATATTGTCTCTTAGATAGTGCGCAATTCAATCAAAGTTTTGTATGGAAATATAACTTGGAGAACAAATGAATGAGTTCCATTCAAAATTGGACGCTCCATAAAATAATTTTTTTTTATTCTACTTCCATGTTTGATTGAATTGCTGACTGTCTAAAAGTTAATATTAAGACCTAAAACTTTGACATTTTTTTATCAATTTTGAAGCATTCGAGGCTTTGGGAGCAAAGAAATTCGAAAATGTCCATATTAAGGACCACCCTAATATATATATATATATATATATATATATGTGTGTATATATATATATATATATGTATATATATTATATATATATATATATATATTAATATATTCAATAAGATATTTTATTATGAATACTAAACTATTAGCAATGTTTCGAATTCGAATCTTTAAAAAAATAAAATGTAGAAAGTATTTTTTTAGATCATGTACATATAAAGAATAAAAATAATTAAATCAAACTATTTCATAGATATGTAACTTCAAAAAACTCTATTCAAATAAATATTAATTTTAGTAAAGTTATAATTTGTTGGTTTATTGTAGTTTTTCTTTTAAATTTTATTTTGCATAAATAAACATGTATTATATTAATTAATTTAGTTTATTTAATTATAAGCATAAAACTGTTCTATGTTTGGAGTGAAGATTCATTGTTGACAATATAAGATTTAATTTTTATTTAGCAATTAAGAAGATAGTCTTGTAATATAATTAAAAGTGTTGAATGTTTAATTAATTATACTAATTCTTATGTACAGATTATTGAAATAAACTTCCTTGTTATTTGAATCATACTGTTTTATTTTCTCATTATGTTTTAAAAATCGGAAATATCAAGATGATTTAAAACTTAATGAACATATGAAATATATTTTGGTAATAATTAAATTATTATTTTAAGATTTATTATTTATTATTTATTTTTATTATTTTTATCAAATATTCAAAGATATCTATCCACGGATTTTTCAACAGAGTTTTTGTCAACAGAGTTTCAACAAAGTTTGTGCCGTTTTATTTTTTAAAAAAATATTATTTGCAATAACTAATTAAACTAGTGGGGTGTATGGCATCGTGCCTTAAGGCAAATTGCTGGAACTTCCCGTACCGTAACGAAATGTTCGAGGAATATTGAATGTTTTCAGATAGATTATTATAAATATTGTAACATTGTCTAATATTTATAAGAGTTATATAAACTGAATTGTATATTGTATAAACTGAAATTATTTGTTTAAAGTATATTAGAACTTTACTTAGAATTAAAAATAAAATCTGAATTATTTTTGACAAAAAAAAAATTTCTGAAAATAAATTATTTTGTTAAAACAAACAGAAAGTTTTTTGAATCATTTAAATCGCTTAGTTCCCTCAAAAACTGCCATTTTTGCAAATTTAGCTCTGTATCTTTGAAATGGCTGGGCCTGCCTTTGCCAAAAACTAATCAGCACATCTCCCTATCAATAGGAATCGAATGTTTTTTGAACCATTCAAATCGGTTGATCTGTGCGCCCGAAAACGTGGACGAAAAAATGCGGACATACAAAACACACACATCCATTTTTTCTGAGGTATGCCAAAATGTTCAGAAACCTTCAAAACGTCGAGAAATGCAAAAGATTTCATTTTCGATTTTTGGCCCATTACTATAACTACCCTACGGGAAGTTAAATATATTAATATCTAATATATTAATATATAATATTTAAAGTTAAACAATCAGAAGCTTTAGAATGTTTTTTTTTAAATGTCTCACATTTCCATTTATGCATATCCTATTTCTTAAAAATTTAAATGATTGCATTAATAACAAAAATAAAAAATACCAATAATCAAAAACTTGATATTGCACTTGATTTTTGTTAGTGTCACAAATTAGATTTATACATTATCCATTGCAATTTGCACGGCGGTTTTGCTTTTCTATATTCTCAACGAATTTTTTGGCAATCAGAAGTTGACAAACATTCGCAATAGATTCATGATGGAAATTAGAATAAAGGGTATCAATATTTCAACAAAATGTTATTTTTAGTAGTCAGATTTACCGTTGATGATAAATCTTATACTTCTGATTTAAAATTAGTTGTTAAAATGTGGGTCAAATTGAAAGCATGTCCACGGTTTGAGAGAAACCTATTTGCCTCAAACTACTAAATTAGTAAAAATAACATGAAATATTCAATATATATCAGTTCATGTTATTTTTTAATTATCAGCCTATTAGAATAGTTTACAAATAGATAGCACGATCGATAATTAATATTTGTTATATTCAATAATGTTATGTCATATATTTTGTGTGTCGATTTTTTTTTTATTAAAGTTTTAATTATGTTTAGTTGATTATGTTGATTTAAAACTTAATGGACGTATGAACAATATTTTAATAATATTTAAATTATTATTTTAAGATGTATTATTAATCATACTTTGTAAAAAATGTTACATAATTCTTAATGATCTAGTATTAATATAGACACAAATAGATGTCATTCTATTTTTTCATAACGTTTGGGGCGACACCCAAGTGCAGCCCTGCATTTAGTACGGCCCAGTTTGCATTATGATGCGCACGCATCTAGACGGCCGTCTCCGCCCGGCATAAAAGAGGAAGACCAACACAAAAAGGCCTTTTCCACTATCGACAGCCGGGGATAATGTATTAATACAGTGTTGAGTCATACTTCAGAATCGACAATCTGATCTATAAGATATCGTTGAAACTGTTCCCCATTTCTGTTTCTTTTACTAACCGAGCCTATTTTGTGCTTCTCTGGTGCGACTGCATTGCACACGAAGACAGCTTTGGTGACGTATCAACAATGACATTTAATAATGTATATATATAATATTCAAAATTATTCAATAATAAATTCTGTATTTTGCAGGTGCAGAAATTTGGTGCAGTATTTCAGTTTTTGTCTGTTGGTTTGAACATTGTTACTGTGACGCACTGAATGTGGCATTTATTGGAATTGCATTTGGTACAGCATTAAACAGTGATTTTAATTAATACTTTAGTTATTACATTATTTTTTTAGAAATTTACAAAATCATTAAAGCATTGAATTTCATGATTCCAATGATCACATGCGGGTTAACTTATTAGTTAGGTAGCATCAGTAGTTCTATTATTACTAATAATAACAAATACTAACACACTAATCTATTCAACTATTAAAAAATAATGTGGTCGTTTGAATCATTTGAGATTATGCATGTGGATTTGACGTATCACATTACATTTTAATTTTCACTGTTTTCAATTCATGTTAATGCATTTTATATGAAACCAAGTGCAATTCTTAAACTGCTGATAAATTGTGCTACATTATATTTCTGGACATCAAGATGAAATCACATAGAGGCCACAACATATATCAAGCAAATTGAGTGGAATCGCCAAGCATCGAGCAAAAATTCAGTTTACATTTATTTTATTTTATCAATCATTGATTTATTCTGATGACTTAATTTATTCTTTACTAGATCTACTTTATTATTTTTAGGCATATTTGATCTGTCACTGTGGCCAACTAGAATGATACAACTATGAACATATTTTGAAAGCATTTCGAGTATGAATAACTCAGATTTCGCAAACATTAATAGCTCCATTTTATCTTATAAACATTTTAAGACTTAAGAATAAATGCTCTTCAAAGAGGACTAATAAGTTTGATAAATTCGAATTTACTACAATGATTGGATTGCAAATTGGTCAGCCTCGCATAATAGTTAATAAGCTAGCCGAAGCAAACTAACAAGTAAGTGTCCAGTAATCAATAATTAGCACACTATTATTTTCATATGGTGTTCGTTTTTTATTCTTTTTTTATTTCTGCATATATATTTAATTCAACAATAAATTTTTTATCACTCTTTCTGCATTTCTTTGCATTAATAATAAAAAAAATATTAGAGCTTTTAGGTTGCTTAAGCATTTAAACTCCACACAGACTCCTTTACGAGGGATCTTTTGGTAATGCATCAACTGTTTTATGAAATATCTATATATAGCATCAATGTATTCATTAATGTTTTTGTTTATTCCAGATGCTGGTTCTTTAACATCCAATTCAGTAATTGAAAAATCTTTATACCGACTCCTTTACCAGACATTTCTCCATATTTTATAAAGTTTGTCTGCACACTGACTCCTTCACCAGGAATTGCTTTAAGAATATTTCATGAAGTAAGTTTTTATCCATAATCCGTATAAATGTAAACAATACATAACATGTTCAGTTTTTTTACAGGTCCTGTCAACAACTGTTGCTCTGCATTCACACTCTTTCACCAGGAATCCATACCAGTATAAATGCAAACTACCACTGCTCTGCGCACTGACTCCTTCACCAGGAATCTTTCCAGAAACATTTTACCAGGTATTGTGTTTATCCATACCAGTATAAATGCAAACATTCCTAGAATGATACTTTTTTTTCTAGGTCCTTTCGACTACTGCTGCTCTGCACACTGACTCCTTCACCAGCAATCGCTCTGAAAATATTTTATGAAGTACGTTGTTATCCATAATCAGTATAAATGTGAACAATTGATAACATGTTTTTTTTTCCAGGTGCTCTAAACTACTGTTGCCTTGCACTCACACTCCTTCACCAGCAATCTTTCCTGAATCATTTTACCACGTATGTTTTTAGCCATACCAGTATAAATGCAAACATTCTTAAAATGATTTTTTCAGGTCTTTCAACTACTGCTGCTCTGCACACTGACTCCTTCACCAGGATTCGCTCTGAAAATATTTCATGAAGAACGTTTTATCCATAATCAATATAAATGTGAACAATAAAAACTTGTTTATTTTTTTCCAGATCCTTTCAACTACTACTGACTCATTCACCAGGAATCGCTGTGAAAATATTTTATGAAGTTCGTTTTCATCCATAATCAGTATAAATATGAACAATAAATAACATATTTATTTTTTTACAGGTCCTCTTAACAACTGTTGCTCTGCACTCACATTCCTTCACCAAGAATCTTTCCTGAATCATTTTACCAGGTACGTTTTTATCCATACCAGTATAAATGCAAAGATTCCTAAAATGATTTTTTTTCAGGTTATTTGAACTACCACTGCTCTGCACACTGACTCCTTCACCAGGAATCTTTCCAGAAACATTTTACGAGGTCTGTGTTTATCCATATCAGTATAATGCAAACATTCCTAAAATGATTCTTTTTTTTTTTCATGTCCTTTCAACTACTGCTGCTCTGCACACTGACTCCTTCACCAGGATTCGCTCTGAAAATATTTTATAAAGTACGTTTTTATCCATAATCAATATAAATGAGAACAATAAAAACTTGTTTATTTTTTTTTCAGATCCTTTCAACTACTGCTGCTCTGCACACTGACTCCTTCACCAGGAATCTTTCCAGGAACATTTTAGGGTATATTTCAGGTATTGGTTTATCAATAACCAGAATAAATGCAAACATGCTTAAAATGCTTCTTTCTTTTTTGCAGATCTTGTCAATCCAAATATTACTACCCTGAAGCTGTAACATCGAGAGCTTCGAATACTCATTCATGTGAGTGACTCGCAAGTGTTTTTTTTAATAACTACCTATAATTATGCATGATTAACTCAACTTTTATTAACTCAATAACATGACTAACCTCACTAACTTAATCAGTTATTATAAAAATCACTTGTTGAGTTTTACTATGAAGGTCGTACTGAGGGTGCTTGGAGGACACAGCCGAGTGATTAATGAGGTAATTTATTATCATAGTATATTTTGAGACTTGTTACTAATTCATTGTTATTGTTTATAGGGTAAACGACGACTTAAAGCTAAGTAGTCTTCAACTCTCAAGTCACTCAAGGCTTGTTCTTCAGCGAAAATAGTCGTCCGATCTACTAATTATGCTGTCCCAAGTAAATATCTCCGTCTTGTCGTCAGAGAAGGTGTCTACTGTGATATATTAAATAGTTAAGTGCGTATATGTTAATGAAATAATGAATAAATATATTGTATTTAATTTAATTTGTTTTTTTTTTTTAATTTAATTATGAGCCACTTTACGGCCAAATTATATTATGCTATCACGTAAATTACAAAAATATTTAAACATTTCTTGTGTTATTAATAGGGATACTTATTGAATGCACTTTTTAGTGTAGACAATTGTGTAAAACGGTTTGTTTACTATTTGGGTGTTTACAACCATCTTGCCGCATCTTAGTTAAGCTTCTTATACCTTTGCTTTGACTCGGAAGAACTCTGCGTCGTTGCTTTGACTTTTTTGCAAACCCTTCTGTTAGGCGAGTGCCTTAAACATTTAATACGTCGGACCGATGTTTTCTCTTGTTTAAATATTTTATTTTCCATTATTTCTTTAAATTGTGCACTTTTCTTCTTAGCTATAAATATCACTGTGTTATTATTATATACATCTATATATATATATATATATATATATATATATTAGGGTAATCCTTAAAATGGTCACTTTTGAATTTCCTTGGTCCCAGGGGTCCAAATGGTTCCAAATAGATAAAAAACAATTCTCTGAAAGTTTTAGTTCTTGATATTAACGTTTAAATAGAGCGCAATTCAAAGTTTTGTATGGAAATAGCATGGAAAATTTTTCAAAAATTTTAATTTATATATATATATATATATTATATTTATATATTAAATTGAAATTTATATATAAATTTAAATATAATTATATATATATCTCTCTATATATATATATATGTTATGATATTTTTTGTTAATGCAATTGCAAGAATAAATTATAATTGTATTATTAGATAGTGTGATACATTGATTGGAAGTTTTGAATAAAACTAACTGAACTTTATTTGGAGTGTTTCATTTCACACAATTTTCAGTGATATATATTAGAAACACAACATACAGGTACAGGTATTATAAACTGATAAGCTAATGTTTTAAACATTAATATACTCATTAATTCGTTCTTCGAAGAGGATTTATTATTTTGAATAAATTTCATATAATATAATTTTTGTAATCTAATTCTATCATAATCAATTAAGTTAATGTAGTTATAACTTTGGCCATTTTAAATAGACTAATCTATGGTTTTTCACTCATTTCAAAAATATTACATTTTTCAATCACTTTAATCTAATCTATATTATTTTAAAGTCTTATTAGTTCATTTAGTTAATATACTTTGAATATTGGCCAGTTTTACTTAACTATAACTTATAAAAAAAAATTACTTAACTATAACTTGTAAAAAAAAATTCGAGTTCTCAGTCTTGTGTTATTTTCTTCTTTTGCACAAGAATATCTTCATTATTATTAATATATCTTAATTTTTATTCGTTTAATTATTACATTAATTACATTCATATTCTTACCATATTTACCCTACCATCTCCTATTTTACTTCACACTACCTTACCATAACCTTACACTACCTTAACCTAATACTTACCTACGTTAAGAACTAATACTCTTATACTTTACTTACCTTTACCACGTCTCGAACCTGCTACCCTGTCCTCTCCAGCGACTCCCACCTCCCAACGCGCGACGCCACGACGATCACATTAATAAACCGTTACAAAGTAGGTGATATTATATATTTTAAATGAAAAAAAACTAACAGGTCATATGGCCAAAAAAAATTTGAGTTGGCGTGGCCTGTGTTGGCGTAATTGGTAGAGTGATGGCTTCGTACCGTAAAGGTACCGAGTTCGAATCATACCTCGGGACAAAAAGGAGTATTGTTCACGTTGTGGTATTTATTTAGTGTTGAATAACACAAAATTAATATTTAGATATAACAAACTAACAAGTCATGAGGCCGATCGAAAGCAGAATCGACGTGGCCTGTGCTGGCGTAATTGGTAGAGCGATGGATTCGTACCCAAAGAGTGCCGAGTTCGAACCATGCCTCGGGACAAAAAATGGAAAGCGTGGAATTTATTATTTATTGTAAGATAGCACAAAGATAAAATTTGGATTTAATAAACTAACAGGTCATGAGGCCGAAAAAAAGCACATTCGGTATGGCCTGTGTTGGCGTATTGCTAGAGTGCTAGCTTCATGTCAACAGGGTACCGAGTTCGATTCATACCTCCGGACACAAAACGCAAAATAGCGGGTCTGTTGACGCTGTGGAACGAGGTATGCACGGAATCACATCCGTTCGAATTTGAGACCCCAGGTATGCTCCCCTCGATCTCGGTTGAGAGGAGAGATACGCGCGAGAATCCCGTATCATCCCCTAATGAACCCCGCAGCAGCCCCGAACAGGGGCGAGGGGGGATTATAGGGGGGTGTGGGGTTCACGAACCCGCGACCCTGTGGTCCCGCCCTCGAAAAAGGGAGAGGGGGGACTATAGGGGGGTGAGGGTTCCGCGCGACGACCACCACTGGGTCGCGCCGGTTGAAAAGCTGGGTGCGTCACAGGTTGGGTCGGTGTGCGAGTCGCCGGAGCACCCTCGAGTGCGATGATGGGGATGTGGGGTGAGGAAAAAGCAGTGACGAGGGAAAAAGGGGTGGAAGGATATGGGGAGGGAGAGATAGGGATGGTGGGAGAGAGATAGGGGGAGAGTAGGGGAGGGGAGAGATAGTGGGGGGGAGAGAGGGAGGGGGGATTTAGAGGGGGGAGATCTCGTCTGGAGGGATGGATGAGAGAGGGGAGAGAGACAGAGGGAGGGATGGAACCACGTGCGCGGATGTAATGCGTGTGTCGCGCGGATGTAATGCGTGTGTCCGCGCATGTATCATTGTAAAATGCGTTTTTTCCGCCCCTATCACTTCCTTCCCTCATCCATCCCTCCCTCCGTCTCCTCCCCTCTCTCATCCCTCCCTCCTATCTCTCCCCTCTCTCATCCCTCCCCCTATCTCTCTCCCCCCTTATGTCTCTCCCTCCCCTTATCTCTCCCCTTATCTCTCCCCCTATCTCTCTCCCACCATCCCTATCTCTCCCCCCCCATATCTTTCCACCCCTTTTCCCTCGTCACTGCATTTCCTCACCCCACATCCCCATCATCGCACTCGAGGGTGCTCCGGGGACTCGCACACCGACCCAACCTGTGACGCACCCAGCTTTTCAACCGGCGCGACCCAGTGGTGGTCGTCGCGCGGAACCCTCACCCCCCTATAGTCCCCCCTCTCCCTTTTCGAGGGCGGGACCACAGGGTCGCGGGTTCGTGAACCCCACACCCCCCTATAATCCCCCTCGCCCCTGTTCGGGGCTGCTGCGGGGTTCATTAGGGGATGATACGGGATTCTCGCGCGTATCTCTCCTCTCAACCGAGATCGAGGGGAGCATACCTGGGGTCTCAAATTCGAACGGATGTGATTCCGTGCATACCTCGTTCCACAGCGTCAACAGACTCGCTATTTTGCGTTTTGTGTCCGGAGGTATGAATCGAACTCGGTACCCTGTTAGCATGAAGCTAGCACTCTAGCAATACGCCAACACAGGCCACACCGAATCTGCTTTTTTTCGGCCTCATGACCTATTAGTTTATTAAATCTAAATTTTATCTTTGTGCTATCTTACAATAAATAAATTCCACGCGTTCCATTTTTTGGACCGAGGTGTGATTCGAACTCGGCACTCTTTGGGTACGAATCCATCACTCTACCAATTACGCCAGCACAGGCCACGTCGATTCTGCTTTCTTTCGGCCTCATGACTTGTTAGTTTGTTATATCTAACTTTGTGTTATTCAACAATAAGTAAATACCACAACGTGAACAATACTCTTTTTCGTCCTGAGGAATGATTCGAACTCGGTACCTTTTTGCTACGAAGCCATCACTCTACCAATTACGCCAACACAGGCCATGCAAACCAAACCTTTTTCTGGCCTCATGACTTGTTAGTTTGTTATATCTAAATATTAACTTTATGTTATTCAACAATATATAAATACCACAACGTTAGCCGCACTGCTGATTTCCGTTTTATGTCTGGAGATATGATTCGAACTCGGTACCCATTTGGTAAGAGACCATCACTCTACCAACTACGCCAACACAGCCTTCACCGACACAGCTTTTTTGGCCATGTAACCTGTTAGTTTATTGTCGCTTAAAATATAAATTATCACCTACTTTTTGACATGTTACTAACGTGATCGTCGTGGCGTCGCGCATTGGATGGAGGGATCTATGAAGAAGACAGGATAGCAGGATAGCAGGATCGAGCCGTGGTAAGATGAAGCAAGGTAAAAATTTCAGTTCTTGACGTAGGTAAGGTTGTGTACAGTAAGGTAAGAAATAGGTGGTGACGAGAGCGCGGTGAGAATCTTAATATAGTTGACGTAATAATCACACTAATAAAAATAGAAGTATGTTAATAATAATGAAGATACTATTCCGTAAAAAAAGAAAAAAGCGAGATTGAAAAGAAATGTGACCTATATGGATACTTAAACTTATTCCTTTGTATAAGTTAATGTTAAGTGAAACTGACCAATATTTGAAGTTTATTTATTAAAATGAACTGATCACCATTTTTAATAATATTATATTGAAATTTATAATTAGTTGCTGTGCAATTAGTTACAAAGAAATCTTAGACTATCGACTGAATATATTCGAGTATTAAAATACATGGTTAACTTGATTAAATTATTATTATAAGTAAGTAGTATTATATGTAATATTTAAAATATTAAAAGTTAAAGTTACATTAACTTTATTGAATATAATAGAATTTTTTCAAGTTAAAACCATGGTTTATCAAGCAAAAACGAATATATCATACGAAGTTTATTTCAAGTATTAAAAACGCCATCGAAAAATTAATGAGCATAATTCTGTTTAAAATAACATCATTGGATTTATTTAAGTTTGTAATATTAAATATGTACATAGTATGTTACATTAAACATATTTATAGCTAAGAAAAAGTACATTATTCAATCAAAGATGGAAGAGAACATACAAGATTTAAACAAGAAAAGACAATGGTCCAGCACATTAAATGTTTTAATGCACTCAAATAACACGAAAAAATGTCACAAGGAGTTTGATCAAGCAAGGCACTCAACTTCACTTCATGTCAATAAGCTCTCTAAAAATTTACACTGCAATGAATTAGTTATTGATTATTGCAATAAATGAATTTAGTGTAAAATAAATTACATTTTCTTACACAAACTTCCGTTTTTTCAGTACATTTTTTTGCTTTTCCTTTGAAGTGATTTCTCAAGTACAATTTGTTAAATATCGTTACATTTTTAAATAGGCAGACACTTCTAAAATGTCAAGGTCTAGGTGGTGTGCGGTTTTTAAAAGTATGACCCATATATATGAAATGATTATTAACCCTTTGGACGAATAGTAATAGTAATATCTCCAACTTATAATTGTTAAATTAAATTATGATAAATTTTTGCTTGGTAGCTATAGGAATAATAGAATGAGATTTCATAACCAACTTTTAGATACAAACGTCTTCATTAGATAAAACTAATTAGAATTATTTATTACTTTTTTCATTAAAATAGTATAAAATCTATGATAGAATGTGAGAAAAGCTATGCTTTTACGTTCAATATTCAAACTTATGTACTAACTAGATTCTTAAAAATTAGCTGTATTCTTAAAAAAATAGCCTTAGTATTTAAAATGGTTAAGGTCATTAAATTATACTAAATAAAGACACACGTTTAGTGTAAATACCTATAATTCTGACTTTTATCTTGATTATTTTATCTACAAGGCTCTATACTTTTTTATCCAATTTATATGTGACAAAACTCTTGTAAATGCAGTATATTTATGAGCATCACAAGTACCATCTTTCATAGGACCGACTGAAACAATTCCTCTAAGAAAGTATACCGGTTCATCTCCATTGAAAATCGGTATTGCCAAACCACCGCCACTGTCACCTTTACAAACACTTGTTCCTGAGAAAAATAAATATTAGAACATATTTTTGCCTTTTAACTATTCTTGCAAACAATTAACCATTAAGATATCCTGCACAGAATTTATCAGCAGTGATGAAAGGTCGAAAATCAGGAGGGCTGTGCTCAAGACATGTTTGCCGGGGAACTGTTGGCAGTATGACATATTTTAATATTGAGCTAACATTTCCACCTTCAGTAGTTAGTCCCCATCCTGCAACCTAAACAAAATTAGATAATAATGAACATAATAATTTAATACATTTTAAAAGGTTGAATACATACTTTCTAAAGTTTTGAAATTAAAATTGTAATTGAAAAATTTAAGATAATTTGCATTAGGATAGAAGTTCTAATTACAAACTATAATAAAGTATAAATAAATTAGCTTTTTAATATTATTTGATACTGTCGTTTAAATGTAAAAAATAAAAAATTAAATATTAGAATAACATCTCTAATATCTCAGAATTATTTGATCTGTAATAATTTCAAACGCAATTTTATTTATATTATTATAAATAATTGCTTTCGAGTGTTTATAGAACTGTTGCAATTATTTTAGAAGAAAAATTGATATCATTTATTGTGTGTTGAAATTGATATATTTATTCATCTATTGTTTTATATTAAAAAGATATTGTCGTATATATATATATATATATATATAATATATATATATTTTGTAGACTTTCGAACCAAGAATCCAAAAAAATACAAAATAAAAACAAGAAAAGTTTTTAATAAACAATTTCTTTATTTAATTATTGTTTACTGTACGTTTCGGAACTAGGTACGTTCAATCTTCAGGACATCTGTCAAGAAACATTGATCTTGATAGATTTAAGCAAACAATATGTTTAAGATAGAAATAGATTTTTCTTAAATATAAATTAATTGTAACAAATAATAATGTACAGAAATATGATAATATGATCCAAATGAAAATGATAAAATAAATGAGTGGATTATCAGAACAGGATATTAAAAATGATAGAATTTTTTTTTTTTTTTTTTTTGAAAGTTATGGAAAAATTTTAAGAAAGGATTACTGAAAAATTGAGTTAATTACCTGTATGTTTGAATATACGTTAGCACTTTTTCACTAAACAGAATTTTGACAAAAAATGAATTTGTTTGAGTTTTTTTCCGCCGAATAGTTAACTTTTGTAAATCAAAATTACTAAAAGTGTTGTCTTTTTTTAAAATTATTATTTGAAAACAAATAATATTGTATTCGAAGTTATACTATTGGCTTTTGGAAGTGAAACCTAGTTCCGAAACGTTGACAGTAAACAAATAATTAAATAAAGAAATTGTTTATTAAAAACTTTTCTTGTTTTTTTATTTTGTATTATTTTTGGATTCTTGTTCGAAAGTCTACAAAATATACACAAATCCAAGACTCTACCTTTCAATATATATATATATATATATATATATAATATATATATATATAATATATATATAATACACGATTTTATGACATAGTTCACGGAAATAAATATATAAAATAAATAAGTAGTTTAATAACAATTAAAAAAGTTTACCAGTCCCTTGGTACCAGCTACAAAATCCTCTTCTACACCTTCAAAATCCCATTCTAAACAAATTGGACGCACAATTGCTGAAAACTCTAAAATTGATTGAAGCTTTAATATAGCTATATCCTGCGCGTAGTTACCTTGAATGTCATAATATCTGAAATGTTCATTTTTTTTTTAATTGAACACTTTTAATACATCGAAATTACTTGAATTCATACGTTGGCGGTATAAGTAATCTATCTATTTCACTATATTGTGCATAATTATCATTATATTATCCCAATCTTCATATATTTTACCAGCCACTACAGTGAAACGAGATTTGTCTATACGGTTCAGTGTTCCAGGCTCATAAAAACAGTGAGCAGCTATTTAGAAAATTATAGTTAGATTTCATAATATAATAAATGTTTTACATATGTACCTGTAATGACAAGTTTGTTTGTCACAATGCTCCCACCGCACCAAATTCCATATTTATTTAAAACATTTAAATCTTTGAGATAGATTCCAACATGCCAAGGAAAATCTTGAAGACCTGCGTCTTGCCCTTTAATGACAAGCGATATACCTTTAGGTCTTGCAACGCCGCATTCTAAAAAATACATATATTATGTATTAAAAGAAAAAACTTATATTGTGTAAACTAACCAGCTGTACATCTGTATATGCTGTAATCCCAAGTTCCATCTTCTTCACAACTTACGAAATTATATTCTGGATTATATGGTAGTCTATAACCTCTCTTGCAACTTAAGAAGGCTTTTGTGCCTGATTTTACAGGCTCATCACAAGGCACAGATAGATTATTATAAATACAATTCAATTGAACACTGCTCGAAGTTAATCCTTTGCATTTTTCTGTTGGATAAATTACAAGAATTTATAACTACATTTAATTATTTGGAAGAGCTCGCGACATGGGCTTTAAGATAAAAAATGCTAATTTTTAATTTATATACATTTTGCACGATGATAATCTAATTTTCTGATCTAGATTAAAATTTGAATGTTTTGAAAGTTTTTAAGGCTATTCAGCAAATACTTGATCTAACAATTTAAATGTGAAAATATAACCTGAAATTAACATATCAATAGTCGACTACCTGTTTTGATTATTGTTATATTATATTATATTGATATAAATCTTACTTAAACATTTTGCTGTTGTAGACCATTGGCCATTAGTACAAATGCCGGTATCGTCTCCAATTAATCCAAATCCTTCGTTGCAATTAAATTTAATTACTGACCACTCTGGAACTTTTGTACCGGGATTCGGAATGCCATCAAAGCCTCCAATTACATATTGGCCATTTTCGAGGGGTGGTGGTATAGTACACATTTGATTGATGTTACTAAAATTACAGTAAATAAATAAATATATATTGATATATATATATATATATATATATATATATGTATGAATGCATATATACAACCAATATACTCACGACGATGATGAAATTCTGCCACAAAATATTGGTTGTTCCACTTCATTAGCTGTGCTCTTCAAGAAAAGTATAGATTTTTAATAACAATAATCCCTTATTATAAAGTTATGATGCATCGTCTGTATTTTCATATTTACCAAGACATCTTTAATCCAGTGAATATAATTCGAAATATCTGTGAGCAGAATTATTCCCTGAGTAGTTAAACTTATAGATACAATTCCGATTAAAGTTTTTGGTTCTGCATATGGTTTCATTACACCTGACCCTCCATAACCATAAAATGCACTATATGGTTCTAAAAATTCATATATTCATTATTATTAATTATGATTATTATACAATGTTAGCTATAATTGAATATAAAATTTTTACCCGCGTTTGGATTTCCAACACATATGTTATTTACTGTGATGTATTGTTTAAATTGGTCGTCACTCTCATCGATGCATTCCAAAGCTGGTAGTAAGGGAATTATTACCGGTTCAAGTTTTTTAAATTCAAAATCTTTATATCCTGTAAGCTAAAATCACCAATAAAAATGTAGGCGGAGCAAAATCTGTTCATATTCTATTTTTCTATTAAGTATGCCAACTTACCGTATAATTAGTTCCTTTTGGTAATTCTGTAGGCCTATTATCATTATTAAGATCAAGGCAAGCCGGTGAAATATATCGATTAAATTTAATTTTATCTTTTAATATAATCGCACCTATGTCGTCTCTGAAATTTGTTACAATACCACGGTATCTGAAAAAAAAATTTCATAAGTAATATACACCAATAAAAAATGGTAATTATTGTCGATGGAAAGAAACTAAACTGTAACAGTAAATAAATGATATTTGAGAGTAACCAGAGCGACCATCATAAATAAAACTGAAAGCCATTAAAGTTTAATGGCTTTCAGTTTTATTTGCGATGGTCACTCTGGTTACTCTCAAATATCATTTCTTTACTGTTACAGTTTAGTAACTGAAATTGTCGAAAAAAATGAGATTATATTATCTCTAATTGCTATTATATTATCTCCACATAGTATACATACTACTTACCATTTACCTTTACATTATTTTACTTGATTTTTTAAATTATATAAATGAAGTAGAAGTCCTTTAGTCCACCTTGGGTTTTTGTAAAATGCGAAATAACTTTAGAGCTACAGCAGATTTTTGCTGCCGTTTAACGACAGATATAAAAATATAGATATTATATGTATGGTCTAGTCTGGCACAATTATTTAGTGAAAAACTCAACGTATCCCAAAAGGTCCACTCTGGTTACCAACTTCTCATAAATGTTAATTCAATAAACTACTATTAAAACAAATGCAACTATAGGCATAGTTCATAGAACCATGAAGTCATTTTTTCACACTCCATGCAGTACAAGTTAATATTTATAATTATGATATGATAATATTTCAAGAAACTTACAAAGGAAATACATTTATCTGTTTGACTTCGTAATATTGAGCATATGGTGTATTGTATAATGTATCGTTCCATTTGTAAAGGCCTGTACCAACTGCTACCTTAACATAAGATGCAATAAATTTCGCTGCTTTAGCTTCATCATAAAGACAATGTGCAGCTAAAATAAAAATATTTAATTAATAAAACAAGTTTTTAATATTTTTAGAACTTTAATATCAATGATGAATATATAGTTGCGTACTTACACGTGATTATTACATTATCCGAAATAATCGTACCACCACATACAATTCTTGGCTCATTTTTAGGTTTGTCATGAAATATTGTAGCAAACCACGGATATCGCCCAACATCACTTTCATTATCCAGAGGATTTACATTCCCACAAACTATAAATAAATTCAAAGTTTATATATAAAAAATAGCTTTCAGGACGATTATTAAATACGTTTGCTTATTTTTTTAATAATTCAACAGATATAATAAACATTCAGAAAATTATCGAAGAAAAGCAACTCTTACTTCTACCATATTATTATATATTTTTTACAATAATTCTTTTTGTATTCTCATAAAACAGCAAACATGATACAGCAATATCTTATAGGCTTCTATTATATGAGCAGAAAATATTCAAGTTAGAATAGAAAAATTTAGTTTAGAATTCACTTCATTAACAGGAGTCTTTAGTTTTAATTTACCATAATTTAGGGCAAACTTTTACACTGGCACAAGTTGCTGTCGCATGATATCAAATACTTTCATATTAAAATATTTATATATTTAAATAATTGTATAATTAACTTTGCTTTGAACAAATAGTGAACGGCTGCTTTTGTTCCAACTAATAATCCTTGTTTTCAAAATATATGTACAGTTACTTTTGAGCAAATAACCAGAAATGATTTCATTCAAATTATTAAATTTGTACAAAATTTAAATTATTTCACTTCTGTGTTAATATTTCACAAAAAATATAAAAAAAATTATTACATCGTCTAAAAAACCTATGCCAGAAAATGAACTTCAATTAGACGCATTACATTTATTTGTGATTTTATTTATAGAATTATTTTTTCTCTGTTTACCAGGCTGACATGAAAATGGACACTTGTCCCAAATACCATCTTCTTCGCATTTGATACTATAAAATCCAGGATCTTCTAATTGTTGGTATCCTTCCTTGCAAATTAGATTTGCCCTGGTACCAGGAGACACGCGTCGGTAACAGGATACACCGCGTCTTTTGGAGTCCTGGCACGTTATGGACAACGAAGGCGAAGAAAGTGGTTCACATGTCCTACAATAGAAAGTAATTTTAGAAATTAAAATTTGTAATAAATTTGCACATGTTTCTAACTCATTACAATATTTTTTGTTCATAATTTTAATTTAATATAGCAAAATTTATACCTGTTGGCAATACATTCGTTACCGGAACAGTTTGTGGTCTCCCGACGAAGCCGCAATGAATTCGCTAAAATTATATTAATCGTCATATTAATTTATTAAAATACATCACTCGTTATTTTCTACCTGTTATAACCCAGAAAACACATAATATAATTAGTTGATGCACAAACATCCTCATTCGAAGAATATACAAAACTATTTGACTCGAGATCAAGGACTGTTTGCGCTTTGTGTACATCAATTATTTATTTATTATCATTATGCCGAAGTGTCTGTCGTTTGGATACAATCCGGTTTTGCCAATACATATAGATGCAATCATATATTTGAACTTTTAGACGTCATCTTGGACAAATATGTTTAGTTTTTAACGATATCATTCGCAGAAACCGTATAGCAAATTAATTTTTCTAGCCGTCGGGACTGGTCTGCCCTTCGGTGGTCGACTTAATAATTTTAGTTACGTAATATTTGCCATTGACATTCTAAAAATCTAAGTTGAACTTATTATTTCTATATAGGGGAAGAACAGACAAAATGATATGGCTCTTAGTTTTCAATCATATTTATTTATTTAATTATATTATAACTAGTCTCAATGGTTTTTACTCATTTTAGATTTATTTACTGCCAGTAACATAGTCTCGTGATTAAGTAGGAACTTTAATAACATATTAAATTAAGCATCTAATTACAAAACATGTTTTGTCTATATAATACATACCGAGATACTAATTGTTAAGAACACAGTTCATATAAATCACATCATAATGAGCACTTATAAAGTGAGAAAAAAAGAAAAATTCATTATGTGGTTGCAATGTACGAGTGGAAAGGGTTTTAACAGATTTCAATTTTTTTTTGGCCTTAAATGAAATACCCTGTAGTGCTTGCCATTTTGTCCATTGCATAAGTAGTCGTTTTGCCCATAAATGAACAAAATGAATAAAAAAATGAAATTCTATCCAATGCCTGATAATTGCAATAGAATTTATCGAAATCACTGGCAAAAATTTATTGATTTTAATAGAAATATTTACAAATCACAAATTGATATATAAAATTAACGAATTCCAAAAAACATGTCAAAACCACCTTAAAAATAATCTTTTGACTATGATAATAATGATCAACATATGGCAGAATTGTGATTATGGCTTTCTTCGTATTATACATATGGAAACGTTCCTAAAATTAGTCAATTTTTACCATTGTGTCATTTTGTGTAGTCGCATTTCCCCTACAACCATGAATCTATTTTTTCATTTGAGTTTTCCCCATGCCTACTTATTTAGACACACCCACTACTTTTTTTGTTTCGCTTTCGTGTGTCAATCACAATAAATTAATTCAAATTTTAATTTTCGTATCATGACTTACTCATTGTTTTTAAAAATTTATACTAATCTGATTTGAAACAAAATCAAATCAAACACACACATTTTTATACAAACACAATTTTATATACATTAGTTTTTTTACATAATAAAGTAAAATGTATAGTCGTAGCACCAGAGCGGACGTGTCATCAAATTTGAGGACCCGTGATAAATCCAGCACACCTTTTCCAAAACCTTCATCGTCAAAATCGAGCATTCGCTGTAATAGTACCTCCGAAAAATCCATCAACTTTGTACAGGTTGGAATTAATGTATTATTGATACATATGAATTATATAGGTGCATATATAATGAATAAAATTTTAGGTAAGTAATTATATATGTCACCAGATATATCTTCACATTAAAGCATATATTTTTTCTATATACGTTGAAGTAATTTCAGTATAATCTATAAATGAACGTAGCAATACATCATTTAATTAAATTTGTCACTTTTAAACAGAATAGAAGATAATTTAACGAAAAACAAGTACAATTTTCGTTATTTTTGACACTTTTATGCTAATCCTAAAAAAAACAGCTAGTCTGATTCGATCGGTTTTCATCGAATAGCAGTATAACATATTATTAACTTCCCTATTTTTTTCCAGAAAATTTCATTTTCTAATTTATTTTTATTTCATATTTCTTCGAGTTTTGAAAAAATTCTAAATAGTTTGATACCAAAATTGGAGAAAGTAAGTGATTGTGTCAAAAGATTTCACTTTTTGTCGAGGTTTGTTCCCAAAACGGCTAAAACCGACATTGAAAATTAAAAAGTGATTCGATGAAACTCGATATAATTAGTTATGAGTTACCATCGGCCAAGCCGTCTTCTTTAAGATCAGCAGAAAAAAATGTCAAACTTTTCATCGATGGTTTAGCCCAAACTCTTGAACCGTTATTTGTTGGGAATCATTCTAATTAATTTTTACTAAAGTTTTGGTTATTTATATTTAATTAAAAATTATAAGAAGGTATCGAATTTTGGAATAATGAGCCGTATCAAAATTAGAAAATTCTTTTGTCATAATTTATAAAGTTGCAATCGCAATTTTGTTGATCTCGATTATATACATCAGGAAGTCTTTGCAACTTGTCTCAAGGTAAAATTCCACTTAGAACTATTTGAGAATAGTTCTGGAAATAGAATTGCGTTTACATACCCACAATTGCATATATTTTCCATTCGTGAGAGAATTGCTATTAACATCGTTAATCAAAGCCTGAAACAAAATGTATTATTATTGATTACTGGTTTGTTATGAATAAATAAATTATATTATTATATTATATGATATTCAATGTAATAACGTAAAACTCGATATTAATCAAGTTGATTGTGTATTTGCTCTGCAATATAAAAATATAAATAGCAGTAAAAATATCATTGAGATCAAATTGTGTTAATTTACATTTACAATAATTATGACATAAATAATTATAAATAAATATATTATAATTTACAGCAAAAGGCAAAGCCCCGATCAACTCTGACTCTTCGTCGAGAAACGCTTACCACATGTGGAGGCACCGATAATTGTGGGGACACTAAAAAATGCCTCAAAAGTAACAGCAGCCGTCCAGGCACCAGTTGTGATGTCAAATTGGATACTTCAGATGATTCTGAGACGGAAATCAGCGAAGATATGCATTATGCCGGATTGTCTCAATCTTTTGATTCTATGAAGATAGGTGGTAAATAGGAAAAAATCAATTTTTAATTCGGTAAAAATGTTTTAAGAAGAAGCTTTTAATTAGAGAGCTAAAGTAAAAAATAGAACCCATTGTAAGATGAGGCTTATATTTCATTTACCTTTGTTTTATGTTCCTATTGATGATCTTGAAAATTGAGCAAACATTTTATGGTCCTTTAAGTTGAATGTCTTCATATTTACACAATTATATAATGAATGACTGTCTTAACGCATTATTAATCTAAAAATTCTTACAAATACATCACTTTAATACGTAATATACTAATATGATTTGATTGAATAGATTATTATGAAATATATACCAAGACTAATATAAAAAAATTGAAAATATTTCCAATTCAACTTAGAATTAGATGAAAAAGTTAATTAATGATCTTTTTAAAATATATATGTGTAACATTTTACATCAATTTTAAAATTAATTTACGTTTTATTTTTTCAGGTAGTAAGACCTCTAGTTTTCCAACAGATTATCACACTTTACGATACAAAAACGGAACTAGATCTTCTATGACCTTCTCTAATACACGCATGAGGGAAATTGAGCGTCACAATGCCATTTTATTAAGAAAGATTTTAGATAAAAAGAAAGTTGCTCCCCCGAAACCGATGGTCAGTATTAAGTAGATAATTATATAAATATTAATGATAAAAATTGCCTATGGTTTTGTATTTTTTTCATTTGGACTTAAATTTCCTAGAATTACTTTTGTATTTTAGTATAGAATATTGATTATTGCTACATGAAAAAACAAATCCCAAATTTGTCCTATATATCAATTAATATCTTTCATAACATTTTTTATTTGTTAATATTTAGGTGATTTTCGCATACCTCATTTAAAAGAAAAATACTGATAATGATGATAACGTGCAAATATTTTTCACGGCGTTAATAAGTGTAATTATTATTATCTATCATCGTTAAAATAAAGTTATTGATCTCAAAGTTAATTTATTAAACTAATTTTGGAATATTTTAATTAATATTTTTATTTTTCAGGCTCAGAAGCCCGTCAAGGCGTCTCCTACGGTGGCCAAGACCAGACACCGCACGCAACGTCAAATCAATCTAGAAAATGCTCTTTTAGATAAGCGTCTTCGAGAGGCTAAAGCAACCACCAAAACTCGAAATACTGAATAATTTGTAAATTTACTGTTTTTTTGCAACATTTCAAGATTTTTTTTTAATTTTATGACGTTAATTTTTACAACGATTTTATGCAGCTTTAGTTTTTGAATAAAGATGTTTTATAAAATACAAATAACATTGATATTAATAATCTAGATTACTCTAGGAAATAGAGACCAGTCGATTTTAATACGTTAATAGTCATGCCAACCATATGTGTCTGACACTAATAAGTATCACATGAATTATGTCAGACTTGGATGAAAAATTATATACTTTTCTGCTAATTATAAGGCTTGGCCGATTGTCGCGTATTATAAGTATTATAACAGCTAGTCCTAGCCTTTTGATGATGTAGCATTTCTAAACTATTACTTGATATTTTATCAAATACAGCTGTGAAGGCTAATTTTGTCGTCATCTGTAAAAAAGGGCAAGATAACAAAGTTAATCAAATTAAAAAACAAAGGATAATTTGAAATCTATTTTTATTAGAAGACTTTTCGATATTAGTTTGTAATTATTAGTTAAGTGTACAACATATAGTGATACATTAACGTATATTAATTAAAACTATTCGAATATCCTAATTATGACAATTATACTTATAACTAAAATGCAACTTTTTTCCGCACCACCCATGAGGTAAAGTTGCTAGGCGCGTTTTTTTTACTGTGGTATCGCCACAGTTATAGATACATTTCATATTTACGTATCTAACATTTCGGAAGGAAATGGATATTGTGTAAATACTACTAAGTATCGATTACTGCAGCCCTAATCCACCTAAACTAACTTATAAACTAATTATACCTAATTTACATGCTAATTATACCTAACTGACCTAAGTGTTA